AAATATTCGCGCCTATATTGTCCACCATAATGCCAAAATCAACGAAAGCTTAAAGACCGCGTTGTGATATTGATATAACAACATAGTTAAAAATTATTGTGATATAAGTGAACATTTTGTAGTGCTATTGTTAAGTAATCCAAACTAAATGGAATTTCCCATTGACCCCAATTTATTTTTAAATAATCCCAACCCTGCAGGGTTGGGATTATTTAAAGGGTTCCGGTACTACAAGTAGTACCGGAACCGCCGTTGTTAATTCGCCCAGGACACAAATATAAAGGAGTCCTAACTTGGAAGAAAATTCCTATGCTAGGATTTTCACTAAAAATATATATAATTTGCCTGAAAACTTAGCTAAAATCTACCTAAAAATTTAAGTAAATTGCCTTAGAAACAGGACATTTATTCTTTTATTCTCAGGCAATATCCCTTACGATCTAAGGTGTATTATCTTTGAAACCTTAGTAATTTTGCTTAATTAATTATATCATTTTCTTTAAAAATATCAGTTAAAGAATTCACTAATTTAAAAGGAGAATATTCCTCTAAATTCATTTTAAGCAGTTTGCCTTAAAAAATCAATGGTCCTATATAGTCTAATATTTTAGGTAAAAATTAGCTAAAATTTTGAACAGTGTATATCTAAACTTGAATACTGCTGTATTATTTGGAATCCACAGTTTGATATCTACAAAAACAAGCTAGAAGGAATACAAAGAAAATTTTTGAAATTTGTTTCTTTTAGACTTGATGGTATTTATCCTTTTAGAGGTATTGATCACCTACAGCTTCTTAATCGGTTTTCTTTGCAATCTTTGGAGCTAAAAAGAATAATAATGCACTTGAAATTTTTATATGGATTGTTGCATAACCAAATAGATTCTATGCTTTTACTTGAATCGGTGAATTTGCGTGTTCCATTTGTTAGAAGCCGTTGTAAACTTACTTTTACCTATTCAACACCTAGAATTAATGCCATGTACAATTCGCCTATTCAAAGAATGTGTAGATACTTTGATACCTATTGTAACTCTTGTGACATAATCTATCAGAATTGTAATACTGTAGTTAGCGATGCTATAAAAAACTATAATTCACTTAATTTATAATATGATAATTTAGCTTCTGTATATTTAAGTTTATGTATTTTATTTTGTTTTTTATATATTTTGTCCTGTAATTGGAACTTGTTCTGTTGGGCAATAAAGAATTATTATTATTATTATTATTATTATTATTAAATCCCCGACATACAGCCGCCTGACGCCTCCCTACCAATGGGATCATCCATTTTTTATAACAGAAAAATGGATTACTGATGAATTCTCAAGATAATTCATTGCTTACAAGTTGACAGCCAGTAAAACATTGCATTGATCTAAAACTTTTACGTTTTAAGGAACCATTTTGCTTAAGCCAGCCATACGACTCAAATATAAAATTATATTTTAAAAGGCACCGATTTTAATAATTGTTATAGATTTTAGTTCCAAATAAATGTTTCTCCTTATTTACCTTTTCGTTTTATAATAATAATATAATAATAATAGTGTTAATTTTCACTAGAAGTTTGCGCTAAAAGAGTAAAAGTACCTTTTTAAAATTAGAACTTTTCCAAAGTAGTGTTAATTTACACTAAACAAAAGTGGGATTTTACCCAGGAAGTGTAGAAGTACACGATTTTAGGTAAATTAACACTTTTTAATACAGTGTAAAATTACTTTATCCTCGGTGCTATAGTGTTAAATCATATATGATTTAACACTGTATACTTGCTTACTTGGGGAAAATTACACTACAAATTAACTCTAATTGTAGTGTTATAAAACAACACTATTTGGTGTGGACCTTTGTGAACTCTAATTAGTGTTGCTTAGAGTTTATTTTTTTTACTGTGTATGACGTTATGTAACTTAAATAACCTAATTATTAACTTATAAGTAATATTACTAACTAGTTACAAGTTGTGCATGCTACTTGGGTATGTTAATAGATTTCTATTTTTCAAGACAATTACTTTTACATGCATTTGTTTACTTACTTAATTTAGTTAAAAACTTCGTAGCTTTTTAAGAGGTATAGTTGAAGCCGTCTGGCAATAAAATTTGCCTTGCATTTTGTATTGGATCGGGGCCCGATTTAATTAAAGTCGTTTCAGTTAGATTCACTTTGGAATTACATTTATGGACCTGAAGTCGTTTAATAAGAGTGCGGATCTACTCAAGAAGTTGCAGTTTAATCGGACATTTTGCTCCAATTACTGAATAGCATGACAAAACTCGTTAACTATGCACTATGCTGAATAACATCTGTTTTTATTTACCCAAGTATGCCCTTTGTATTTTTTAATCTCTAGTTTTAATTTTGTAGAAGGATCTGTACTGCAATAAACTGGGTTTAGATTTTAGATACGATTTCTTTGAATTATCTATAAAGAACAGTTTTCTGCCCCTTTTATGTCATTATTGCTTTAGTATAAAAATATATAACAGAATCAAAGGAAAACATGTTGCAACAATGCAATTATATTGCCTAACATGTTTTGTTCGCAAGGCGTTAGATGTAACAAAATCTTATAAGTAATTGCAATTTGAAACTATTTAAGATTGTTTATTTTTATATAAATTATGTAAATTGACCTTCAGTTATTCCGTTATTGAGAAAAATCATATTCATGGAAAAAACAAGCATGTATCAATCGACGTAAAAGCTGAAAGGTGAAATTTAAAATCCAAGGGAAAACCACGAAAACCTCGAGATACCTAACAATAAAAAGTAAATATTGTTTTATTTATTTATTTTAAAACAATGCAAGAAGTATCGTTAAAAATAAAATGTACCTATCTTAATTTTAAGGTACTTCAATGTTTCAAAAAATCTATCAATAATGATACGTCTATTATCTAAAAATTATTTATTTTAATAATAAAAACAACTTTATATTTAGGAATTTAATATAAATATGGAGTAATTTTAAATATCCTGTAATTTTTTAAGGATTATTGTCTAATCTTAAACAAAACTTAATATTTAAATACTTACGGATTATTCAAAATTGAGCCAAACTTACTGAAGTAGGTATACGTTGTATCGTTTCTAGGTGGTGCAGTAGGCAAACAAATTTAGGTTAGAAAATAAAAAAACAAACGTTGAACAAACACATTTATTTTGTTTTTAATACAAGAACAATCTTAAATATAGGTATACATTATTATAAATTATCGTAGGGAACTTAATCATTATTATCGACATATTTTTCATTTTAAATAATTTGTAATATTTTAGGCATAGTAGAAAAGCAATTTCCAATTTTATAAAATAATTTAGGGCTATTGCCAATAAACTCCACCCTATATTAATGTTATACCCCAAAGTGTGTAACAAAATTATTTCTAAAACAAAATCTTTTTAAATGTCATAATACTATATTATGTATCAAGTTTGATAAACGCCATTTTATACACGAATTTAGTTTAGGCACGAGCGAGCTTGCGAGCGAGTGTATAGAAAAGTTTATAAACGAGGTGCATACTATACTTTTTGAACGACAAATAGGTACTTATTATTATCTTAAAATGATTTAAATAAAAAATTTGTATAAAGCGCCATCTATGAAACAATACGGGAATCTGTGTGACCGTGAAATGTCAAATTTTTAAATTTTATAAACACAGATTATAAAGGTTATAAATCGAAAAGTATTTCTTGAAAATTGACAGTCTTTCACAGCAAAAGTAAAGAAAATGTTTTATGAGCACTTTACAGTTAAGTCCGTGCCCGAATTTAAGTTATAGTTTACTGCCGGCGAAATTAAAAGGTCAGTACAATGTTCATAAAACTTTTCAAATATTGACGTTGAGAAACTATTTAATGCTTTTGTATTTTTGTATTGAGATAATAAAATAATTTTCACATTTAGTATTATTTTACAAGAAAGGCACTTTATTTTAAAGATTGTATGACATTTGACAACTGTCAACTAACTTAAAACTAACTTCAGCCCGTGACTAAAAATCTGTTGCTAACTTCAGCCCGTGACTAAAGCGCCATAAAGCCACAACTTGTCAATGTGTATTTAAAAGGTCACTTAGTGTCATGGAAACATGTACGATAAAAATAAATTAAGTTTATTAACTTACATACATAAGATATTTTGCACTGCAAAGCCTATTTATTTATGAATAAAATAATTTTAAGGCATCCTTAATGCATATTAGTAAATATTTAAACAATAAACCTAGGTACCTACATACACGTAAATGCGACCCTAAATTTAAAAAAGGGTGGTATATCAATAACAACTTACTTACCTTCAATTTTTTTTATAATTTCCTTCGATGCTGACCACTCTTCTAATAATTTTTTTTATGAAATACGCCCTCTCCCTCACAAAGAGAAAGAAACACTGCATGCTTAGGCATAACATTTCAGAGGAACGTGTCGGCATCTCCACTCCTACACGATTTCAAAAATATGTATTCTTTTAAAAATAATTAGAAAATATAAGAATATCTTATTCTTAATGTAAAAAAATTAAACAAATTAAAAAAATAAGAATATCTTTTCTTGATATAAAAAAATATTAACAATTGTACCAAGAAACCAACTAAGATTTCCTCAAAGAATATTTAGTATTTGGATTGAAATATGCAACTTTTTAAAACAAGAAATGTTTCTTAATATTATAATATTTCCAAAACTACAAAATTCTTTTTTAAAGAAGTTAAATATTTTTAGTTGAAATATATATTCTTATTTTAAAGCAAGTTGACTTGAATTAAAAAAATATTTTCAAGATGAAATATAAGAATTTTTTTTTTCAGTGCACTGTGCAAGCATATTTTGCGACAGTTGTCATAAGTCAGGAAGAACCAGTGGCGGCCCAAAATTTCTATTTTACTAAGAACGGGAAGAAGCTTCAAAATTTCTTTTAAATAAAAAAACCTTTAAAATTTCATTCATTTATTTCATCAAAATAATATATCAATACATACTACTTGGTAATAAAGATTAGTTTTAAATTTTTCTAAAATACAGTAAAAAGCACAATAATAATTATTGTGCTTTTTACTGTATTTTAATTATTAGCATAATAGTATACCAACCAAACAAACAACAAATTAAGTGGAGCAAATAATTTTGACCTTTAAACTTCATCATCGTCTAACTCATGAGGGGTCGTGCTTTCTTCCTTGCCCGGAGGTTCCACGAAACCTATACGAAACTTAATTAGAAAAGTATTGCGGTTTTAATATAATTTTAATACTGATTTTCTCCTAAATTAAATCCATTTTAATACAAATAAATTTCATTATTATACCTCTGCTGAATTCATATATAAAATAAATTAAATTTTATTTCAGGGTTTACTTAATTACCACAAAATAAATAAGGTTTGGCTTTAATTTAATAAAATAAACGTTAAAACTTATGTTTAGAAGGTTACCACCAATATTTATTTTATACCCGTCCTAGGTCATAAGAATAATATAATTTTGATTAGAATCTTAAAATTAATAAAAAAAATAAAAACGTATTTATAATTTTAGCACAAAGCATATATTTAAATATTAAAAACTCGTATAAAACCCTTATGTGACTCAAAAATTTCGGGTACATTTTTTCCTTTGTTGCTCATTCTAAAGGAGCTTCCATGGATACCTTAACCCTAAATTAGCGCTCATATCTTGCGTTCTATTCGTTTTAAAGGAAGCGGACCCTGATCGTAACATTCCTGAGGTTTACTCTTCAATTAAGTGACTTAATTTAGTTCGGGCAGTACATTGCGAAAAATGGAATAGGAGGAATTCCTTTCACACTTAATGCATAAATGGCTATTGGTACCAAATTTCTTGTATAAATCTTTTATAATTTTATAAAAAGCCCATTAAAAAGTCTTTTCATATTCATATTCAAATTAACAAAAAAAATCTGAGCTGATCTCCCAGATAATGTCTAGCCATGGAATACTTTTTGTTTAAAAGCATATTGTCAATATGATATTGATAAACAATTTAATATGGGCCGGCGGTCAAGCGAATTTTTATTTGAATTAATACGGTCAACTTCACCAAATTACTTTTTTTTGTAGAAAACATTGTCTCACGTGCCATTAAGGTAAAATTATTGCACCGCTGCTTAGATAAAATCAATATTCAGCAGCTTTTGCATACAATCTTGAGATCTAAAAAACTAATTTAAAGTTTCTTTTTAAAACTTTGAAAGTTCAGTAGGTTCTTTAAAGAGTAGGTATACTTTAATTTGCTAAGTAAATTGTTTTTCAAGCTTTTGTAAATTACAAAATCGCAATCGTAAAATTAAAAACATACATTTTTAAAAGTTTTATAAACAATTTTAATTGATTAATTAATAATAATATCATTGCCAAGGTTGGTCCTATATTGGCATATTGTTTTACGCCAGTATATCATTAACTATAGTCAACGATGCTTTCGGATTTCTAAAAGTGATATGTAACGACTAGAGATGGGATATTTAGGTACTAAAAACTGAAAAATAGGTAACTAAAAAGGTACTAAAAAAAAGCATTTTAGGTAAAAAAAAAACATTAAAAGTTCAAGTTTCGTTTATAATTTTGTTTAGCCGCATACCCAAACAGAGAACATACCCACAATAAACTATTTATATGCAATAAACTGTGTTTCACTGAGTGACACTCACTACACAGAAGTTCTATGACAGAACATAAGCTCACTACAAAGAAGGTAACTGTAAAGAAAGTTACTGTTACAGTCTGTGACCATAAGAAAAAATTCTATACCGTTGAGTTGCACGCCCTGGATAAAATATTGGCGCAAAATTTAAAAAGAGCACAAAAAAATAAAATTAGTAAAAATACGTAAAAATAGGTAACGAATAGGTGAAAATAAACTGACAAATTAAAAAATATGTAACAAAAGTATAAAAAGGTACTTTAAAGCAAAAACCTCCAAAAAAGGTAAAAAAGGTGAAAACAAGTTAAAAAATAGGTAACAAAAGTATAAAAAAGGTAGTTTAAAGCAAAAACCTCCAAAAAAGGTAAAAAAGTTACATCGGCTGAAAAAAGGTAAAATAACTAAAATCCCATCCCTAGTAACGACACACGTTTGTTTCCAGGATATGTCTATACTAGTTTAGCACCAAATGGGTGAAAATAATTAAGGCTATTCTTGCATATTACCGTAAGAATAACAAGGGTAATATGCGATTTCTTGTCTTATTAGCAATAAAATTCGTTATTACGTTAATAAAGCACAAGCTGATCATTTTAGCACACGATACAAACGATTTTAGCATTTCATCGTAATTAAGAATAACATAGGCGGTACACGACTTATCCGATTCTTATTTGTTGTCATGTTATAGCAAAATTAAAAAAAAAATTTTATTAAAAATAAATTATTATGTAATGTTCTTTGAAAAACTATGGAAACAAAGTTTTTGTTTCCATAGTTATACATATTGTTTACATTTAAAAGGCCTAACTGTCAGCGTCAGTGGTATTTTTGTAATTTTCCAGTTTAATTTTTTTTAAATGCCAAAAGTTTATTCAAATTTAGAGTAGGTATGCTAATATGGTTTTTGTTTATGGCTTTTGTAATGGCAATGCCACAGCTGCTGTAGAAGAATATCGGCGACGTTTTCCACGTGAAAGGGCTCCTGACAAAAACGTGTTTATTTGAGTTTTTAACAATCTTTGCGAGACTGGAACTCTTCCAAGTGCTAAAATAACATCTGAAAAAGCTGATCGACAAACTTTGGAAGAAGTGGAAAATATTTTGGATCTAGTGGAAGATGATGCAACGACTAGCACCAGAAGAATCGCTACTCAATTGGACATTTCACAAAAACGGGTAATACACACACCGAAAAAAATAATGTAGTTGAGTTAACATTTGCCTAAATGTCATTTTTAAAAATGTTGTTTCAACAAAAAACCTATTGGATTAATCTATATTTTGGTGTTAAAGCAAAAGTCAGAGTTTGTCAAAGTTTATTTGTTCATTTGACAGTTTAAATATTAATTTAACATAAACTAATATTTTGAATTAAAATGTTTATCGTACTTTGATTTAATAGCTGGAATTTGTTGAATCAACTACTGAAATTTTTAGGATTACCTAAAAAAACTATTAAATTAACGTTTAGTTGCTCTTTAATCCAAAACTTTAAATTTGTTCATTTAACAAATTTAAAATGTTACTTTAAAATTTAAAATGTAAAATTTGCATTCATAAAATTGCCGAGAATGGCGCTTCGAACACTCAAGCCACGTCATTAGACAATGACGTTTTCTTACATCTCGCCTTAGTTAGCTTACGATTAGGTGTATATAAGATGAGATATCTGTTTGTTTAAGGTGTGTTCCACAGTAGAACTTTCACTACACCATATTGCCCGACACGAAGACCCTTAATACAGGGCGAAACAGTCTGTCGGTATTTAAAGTAGGTGGAACACGCTCAAAACAAAAACTCTGGGCGAGGTGAAGGTTCAATTCTTTCTATTTATATATAATAATATATTATTTCCATAATTTTGTTTTGGATACCAACCTTTAAAGAATTTTACATTTTCAGAATGTTAATTTAACATTTTATTGGTGTTAAGTGAATATGCTAAAAAGGTTACCTGGACATTTCAAGAAATTTACTTTAACACCCTATGAATGTTAAATTAACCAAATTAGCAGATTAGAACAAATATTCTTATTTTGTTCATTTGACTGTTATTTGTTGTTCAATTAAACAATACAATTTGACATTTTTAGATGGTTAAGTAAACGTGCAAAAACCATTGCTTGTATTTAAAGTGCATAAAGAGTTGAATTAATATTTTTTTTTGTTGTTTCAACAGCTTATTTTTTTCAGTGCACACTTCACGAGCAAGGCATAAGCCTAACATTTACAAACCCATACATTTACAAAGAGTACAGTTTCTACACCCGGAAGATTATGCTAAACGTGTGGAATTTTGTCGGTGGGTAACTAACAATCGTAGAGTTGTATCGCGTGTACTTTTTACTGATGAAGCAACATTTACCCGTGACGGCATTAATAATACGCACAACTCTCACGTATGGTCCTGCGAAAATCCCCATGCTATAGTCGAAACCAATTTTCAGCACAGGTTTTCATTGAATGTGTGGTGTGCTATGATTGCTGGGTATTTAATTGGCCCTTTTATTATGGAGAATTGCCTCACAGGGGAACACTACCTTAATTTTTTAACAAATGAGTTGCCAGGATTACTAGAGAATGTCCCTTTAAACGTAAGAAGGCAAATGTACTATCAGCATGATGGAGCCCCTGCACATTTCGCTCGTGAGGTCAAGCAACACTTGGATGAAATGTTTCCAGAGCGTTGGATTGGTCGCGGAGGTCCAATTAGTTGGCCTCCAAGAAGTCCAGATCTAACACCACTAGATTTTTGTTTATGGGGTTGGTTTAAAACAGAAGTTTACAAAGTTAAAGTGAATAATCGAGAGGCACTAATTCAACGAATAATTAATACTGGCGCAGTTATAATTCTTATTCTTATTACGAATATTGGGCAAATATCTTTGTGCTACTGAGGAAGCTAGCAACGGTGCTGAAGATATGAACCACTGCATATAAAAATGCATAACGATTAATATAAGCCCGGTCTACAATTGTCACAGAAAGTAACATTTACGGCTTACGTCTTACGTCAACCAATTACAGTGATATGTCCATTTTAGGCACTTTGATTGGTTGACGTAAGCCGTAAGCCGTAAAAGACACATTCTGCGACAATTGTAAACCAGCCTTTAGCACCGCAAAAATAACTACTAGCTCGATTTTGAAGTGTTTGCGACTTGTAGTGAATAAAGTAAATAAATTAATAAATCAAACAATCATATCGTTGAAATATGCAAAATATTGTAAATTTTTAAAGGAAAAAACTCTTATTAATAAAAAAGATTCGTTCTTTAATAAAGTTAAAAGGAAACTTTTTATATTATTTTTTTTTGAATTTTTTAAAAAAATAATGAGGAATTTACTTTTATAAAATAAAAGTTTTGTTATTTGATATTTTTGTATAATAAAATTTTCACAATACCTTTTTAACTCATTTTAAATTATGTATAAAAAATTACCTTTTCTTTTATAAATCTAAATTAAGGAAAAAGGTTTTCGAATATTTTTTGTTTAAATATTGTATGTAAACTTTTAAAAGAAAATATTTTGTTATTAAAATGTTTGACGATTAAAAAATATATAATAAAATTTAAATCATTGGGGACAGCTTTGATATATGTATGTACAATGTACAATGTACATTGTACATATATGGGTCATTCCACCAAATAAGTCACTGACTGCCATTTTTTATCAGTAATATTGTTTACAGAACAATTAATTAGTTAACAAATTGTTTATACCAACCTGAAAAATTGACACTTAAATTTTAAACAATGACAGATTACTTGGTAACCATAGATACCGTCAACTCAACCGTCACAGGTTTCTTGATACAGATTAATATGTAAAATTTTAGAAATTGTTAAATTTTTCTGAAATTATTAACTTTAGGTATAGGGAACATTAACATTAATCGAAAGGTTTTTTAAATTACTATTTGATTATGCAAAAACATACTGGGTTTGTTAAAGAATTGACAAGGAAACTTTTAAACAATGTTTTGAGACACCAGCAATTTATTTTATGTCATAAAATTAATATTTTTTACAAAAAAAGATGATTTTAAATTTTGCAAACTGACTATAAACTTTATATAATAAATAGAATTTGAAAAAAATTGCTTTTCAGAACGAGAAAAACACTTTTTACAATGAAATTTGAAGAAGAAAAAAGTTATGAATTTTTTTTTTTTAATTCTTATTTTATCTCATAAAATTAATATTTTTCAAAAAAAAATATTTTTTGAGATAAAAATAATTAAATTTTGTAATAATAAATAATTTACAAAATTTAATTATATTTTTGTAAAAAATATTAATTATAAGACATAAAATAGGAATTAGCAATTTTATTCGAGTTCTATTTATTATATCAATTACACTAGTTTAGTGATTTTCTTGTGTATTTTGGCTCACTAAAAGCGAAAATCACACTTGAATTTTTTTTCAATTTTCTGAGGTGTTTTGACGTTTTAGAGTATACTTCGAGTTCTAATTGACCGATTTGACCAAACAAGCACTTAAATCAAAGATAATTAAGCCCTCTACAACTTTCTTTTGTATAGTTTTGGTATCGGCTCAGTAGTTCGATACTGGCGATTTTATGAAGTTGAAAAAGTCATTTTTTTTTTACAAAAATCGAGGTCGAAAATTTACATATCTTTATGGGAAAGATAGAAATCGAAATGATAAGTTCAGTTTGATTTATTTTGCGTATATATTATACTTAAAGGAAAAAAATAAGCTGCTGTTATAAAAATCCATGGATAAATGGCGAAGTTATGAATTTTTCAGTGAAAGGCAAAATTCAGTTTTTCGAGAATTTTTACGTTTTTTATAAAATTTAATATTGAAAATTGATTTTTATATTAAACATTTAGTATTAAAATTAAATTATATATTGAATATTAAACAATAAATATTGAACATTGAAGATATTAAAAGTTTTATTTTGCAAAGGTTTAAAAAAATTCTGGCTACTTCTCGCACTACTTCTTTTACTCATTTTACACAATTGAAAATTCATATTTTAAAAATGCACCCATAAAAAAAATTGAGTGTGATTTTCGTGTGTCAAAATACCTGTAAAAATTATAATGGGATATGGTAGGCAGAATTTTGATTTTGTAAAATATTGACTAAAAATAGATATAATAAATATAATTGGAATAAAATTGCTTTTTAGAATGAGAAAAATACTTTTTACAAAAAAAAACAAAAAAGGTACTGAGAAAGTTTTTTTTTTTAATTCTTATTTTATGTCATAAAATAAATATTTTTTACAAAAAATTATTTTTTGCAATAAAATTAATTAAATTTTGTAAATTAACTATAGTTATATATAAACTTGATATAAAATATAGAATTGGAATAAAATTGCTTCTCAGAACGAGAAAAACAGAATAACTAAAATTTACATAAAAATAATTCAATTTTGTAAATTAACTATAAACTTGATATAATAACTAGAATTTGAATAAAACTGTTTTAAATTTAAAAAAATAAGTTAAAGGAAAGATTTTTAATCCTTATTTTATGTCATAAAATTAATATTTTCACAAAAAAATATTTTTTTTAATAAAACTTAAAATCCATCTATTTTTGATTGACGCGAATTTCTCCAATTTTAACGAAAACAATTAATAACTCAAAACCTATTCTAATTCCTTAACACATTTCAAATGGATTTTTTTTAGTTCTCCGAGAAACTTCTAATGGACCACGAATGTGAAACACCCTGTATATATCCAAGGTGTCCCCAAAAATTTTAATTTTATTATCCATTTCTTGTCGAAGTAGTAGTAGAAAAATACGATACGAGGTGTGTTCAGAAAATCTCGGGAATTTTCGTTTTTCGCCTTCAAAATAGTCCCCATTGGATATTATGCACATGTGCCAGCTCTTCTTCCAATACTCGAAACACTTCTAAAACTCGATCTTTGGGATAGCCTTTAGTTCTTTCAGCGATGCGCTTTTAATGTCATCTATGCTTGCAAAACGACGGCCCTTTAAGGTTTTTTTTATTTTTGGGAATAGGAAAAAGTCAGACAGAGGCATGTCTGGCGAATATGGAGGCTGGGGCATCATTACAGTATTGTTTTTGGCAAAAAATTTTGTTCAAAATTTAACAATTTTGGAACAAATTTTGCTGCCACGCGTTTCATACCCAAAACATTCGAAAAAATTCCATGGGATGAGCCAATCGATATACCAACATTATCAGCGACTTCTCTGATGGTTTATAACCATTTCTTCCACTTTTTCCATGATTTTATCGGTTGTTAATGTGCTTGTGCGTTCGTCATCTTCAACGTCTTCACGATTATCTTGGAAACTCTTTGTTAACATTTCACAGAATTTATTTCATTTTTTAAGCAAAATTCTCTTTGATCCATTTCTTTTAACGAACGAAAATCGCCGAGCTCATAAAACACGTCTAACCTTAGCGGCTGCCACAGACAAAGTAAACAATGAAAACAGCTAAAGTTTTTATCATACTTCGGGGGCATGTATACCAACATAATATAGAAAATTTTATTACAACCGGACCCTCCGAAGCCGCGAAATTTAACAATTCCCGTTATTTTCTGAACACACCTCCTAGGTATGAATAATTAAATTTATAAAAACATGGTTTTCCTCCACTAGGGAAACACAAAAATAATATGTAAAGTAAGGAAGAATTCATTTAATTATAACTAAAAAAGTATAAAATAAACAAAAACATGTTTATACTTTCACGAAACCTTTTAAGCCAGAGCTATAAATCCCATTTCAAGAGCCAAATTCAGCCGATTAGCTGATTTGATTAACAACTTGTAGAAAATAGATAACGATCTCGCATAACAACGGCCAATAAAACCTCCGCCCAAGTTAATTTTCAGTGTCATTGACATCGTTTTATGTTGCCCGTCCTATTATGTTTTGCAATAATGTCCCTAATTAAGCCGGGCATACGCGAATCAATAGTCAATTACCGGAAAATCCTCCGGGATTTTGATCCTCGATCGGGATGTCCTTTTTCGTCATTCCTCCTTCGTCCTTGTTTCGTTCGCGACGTTCTTGCAGCGTTGCCGCTTCCTCGCTGGATGCGGGTTCGAGCAGACTGGACAGATTCGTCCACAGCTCCAAGATCTAAAACAAGCCGAATGAGAACAAAAGTGGTTTTAGAACTTTCTAAGGAGCGACCTTAAAATGTTTTTTATAAAAATGTATTTTTAAAGAAAAGTGAAAACTGCATTTAAATGATAAATGGGTTAAAAGGTAACAGGGGATTAGTGTAAAAAATCTTGCACCGTGATTTTTTAACCATGGTTTAAAATTTAACTAGTGATCTAGGGAATTTGACTAAAAAATGGAAAATATTGGTGCTAATAACTAACTTCACACTTATTTGTGACGCAAATATATTTTGACGTTAAGAGTTCGATTCTTTATAATCTGTGGTTCGAGTCGATGAAAAAGATGATAAAGATCTTTATCATCTGTGGTTCGATTCTATTTCATGTACGACCGATTCAGTTGATGGCAAGAGAGAATAATATGGATACAGAAACTGAAAAAAAGGGGGCGCTACTCAAATTAATCTTGTGGATACAAGGGTATCATTGAAAACAAAGAGACTGATAGGGCTGAAACAATTGGAGCAGGAAATTAACGATAAAAAGGATGTAAAAGAAACGACTCTTTCGGATTTAAAAACTTTAGAAGAAAAAGAAAAACCCAATATATGTAGGGGAAAGGGCCCTAAGATGACGAAGTCGGTAAGATGACGAATTGCAGATTCCTACTATAGCAAACGTTTTAAAATCTTGAAATCGCGACGCAACATCCCTATTGACTTGTGCAGTATGGTAGCTTCACATTTTTTGGCGGAAGAGCGGGGCGGTTTGAGATTTGACGCTGATGAGTGATATTCGCACGTGCTCTGTAATTTTTAAGGTTATTTAAATAAGGAATACAGTTTGATTGGTAAGTTCTAGACATTTATTCAGTGGTCTTGGGTTTTTGGAAAAGGGTTTTCTAAATGTGCAGTGGTCAAACATTACTGATTTGCATGCCATTTAAAAAATATTTACCCAAACTTTAGGAATGTCGTTTGGAGGTAACTTGACGAACAACAATGTAGCTAAGATGACGAACTGTTAATTACCTTGGTAGGTTTAGATGTAGTTTCTTTTGTAAAGCTAATTAGCGTATTACATTAATGTTTTGTTTATTTTAGTATATTATTCTTAATAAATACATTTTTAAACTTTGGCCTTAGGATTTTTTTAATAAATTAACTATTAGTCAACTTACCCACAGCAATTCGTCAACTTATCAGCAGTGGGTGGTAAGATGACGAATTGGTTGTTTTTTTTATTTTTTAATTAATTTTGTTTTAATACTTCTTTTTCATTAAATATTTTCTTATCAGTCGCTTTAAATATGTTCTAAATCAAAGCTTAAATACAATGCATACCCTCTTTTTCATGAATAACAACTTTACGGCTCAAAAATCCTTAAGTTCGTCATCTTAGGGCCCTTTCCCCTACCTATTATAATAATAAACAAGAAGTGACCATTTATTTTATTTAATTTTAAATAAGTACCTATAAATTAAATAAAACATCAAAAATATTATTCAAATTAAAATTTATTAATTCGCAATATAATCTTGTATTAATTGATTTTGAAACATAATGCGATCTTGTGGATGAGTAACAACAGGGTACTCCAGTTAATGGCATTAATATCATCAGGCAATGGCGGCTCTGGTTTATTCATGTCTCTAGCAATATTATATAGTACAGCTGCAGCTGGAATAATGAAAAAATCTGTATCTAGTTTTAATCTTAAGCCATATGCCAACACTGGAAACCCTTTCCAAATTCCAAATACTCTTTCTATCTTATCTTATATCTCTGGTTCTTAGTAGTGACTCATTATAGAGTTGCTGACCTCTATACCTATAACTAAAGTTATTGGATTTGCTAAAGATATCAATAAATAATATATTCGGAAAAAAAGATCTTGAATACCGATGACAAGTACTTTTGAGGTTATAAACCGTTAACGGTGGATTAAAGTAATTTAATCCCCCGAAATTGAAGGTTTATTTTAACCGTAGTTTAGTGGTATTTAAACAAGGATTAATTTACGGTGCAAGCCGGTTATGAAAAATAAACCTGTGTTAAAAAATAAACCACTGTTAAACTTACGGTGCAAGTGGCCATAATATAATATATAGAGTCTATGAAAAATGTCCCTAAAGCGCGGTTTTTCATAGACTATGTAAAACATAAGTTCTCTATGTATTATTTTTTTATCCTAAACATTTAAATGCAGTTTTTAAGCTTACACCCTTCTATAGAATACCCGGTATAGTTTTCTCGTGGAACCAATCTTCCATTTTATTAAATGTTTTATATTTTTATTTATTTATTCAAAGTTCTTTAAAAAGTGAGTTAAATTAAAGAAATTTTAAAATCAAGTGGAGACAATTAAGTTTTTAGTTTAAAAATAAATATAATGGAATAAATTAAAGCCCCTATTATACAGTATAAAACGCCCTGTTTTAATTTTATTTTAAAAATTAAATTCAGTTTTAAGGTAATAAACACTTCTTGGAAACCCGGGATAATTTTCTCGCGAAATCCTTCATCTGTAACTTTATTCAATGTTTTATATTCTTTTGTTTAAAGATAAACATAAATAGAAATTCTTTTAAAAGCAAGTTAAATTAAAGAAATGGCAAAATAAAATAGAAACCAAATACTATTTTTGGAGAAGGGTTCTCTTCTGAAATTTATTTTGTTTTATCTTAAAGAAAGGATATTGTAAAAAAATACAATTTTAACATAACGTTTTTATTAAAAATACAAATTTTTAAATACATTATTAAGAGATTACGCTCGAGGTAATTTTTGTAATCAAATATATATATATATATATATAGGGTGTTTCTTTTAACTTGAGACAGCTTAATATCTAGATAAATACGCATTTCACGGAAAAATGTCTTAAATAAATAAATAATTCAAAATTTAAGAAAAATGGTTTTCCTTGTAAAATGTATTATTTGAAACGTTTGAGAAACAAAACTTTACATTAAATCAACAATAGTCGGCTCTAAAAACAATTTATAACAAATGTTGGAAATGTCGTCCTTCCAAAAAAAAATACAACAACATACAATACATTTCGACACATTTGTGAATGCGGGTAATGAATTCTGGCACACAACGCATTTAGTGCTTATTATCTTTATTAAACACATTTAAAGAATATGAACATTATTCATTGGTACATTCACACTATTTATTATTAAAATAAATCAAAAGGGTAGAAAAACTTAATGCGAGTGTTTATTACCCCTTAATGTGTTAAATAGTGACAAATGTGCCAATTTCTTTGTCTGTTTTGATGTTACTATAGTTACTTATAAGAGCTCTTTTTTTACTCTACTAGTGCACATTGCATCACAATTAAAGTTAAATTACACCAATAGTGGCAAAATAGACTTAAAAAACTGGTAATAACCGAAATGCGTTTTGAAATGTTTGGTTGGTACCTATCTACCTACGCAGTGCATGTCCGGAGATACCGCGTTGTGGAAGTGTGGCATTTTTGTTCAGTTAGATTTTAATTACGGTGAATCCATAAGGGGACATTCTTATTTTTTGGTAAGTATTATACTTTCTTTTTCTTTAAGCCTTAATACTCAATAAATACCAATATGTTAAAAGGATGTCCATACCCGACCTCAGCGCCGGATTTAGGGGGGGTCTTTGGGGGTCTATAGACCCGGGGCGCAAGCTTACAGGGGGCGCAAAATTTTTGACTGGTAATTTTTGTTTTTTACTACAACCTAAAGGGTTTTCCCCTTTTTTTATTTTTCGTGTATTAATCAGTTTTAATAAAAAATTATTTAAAATATAACCGTGATTGTTGCCATAGTATTATTATCTATGCATTGCATAGTATACGAAATATGTCATGTCACGTATTACGTAGGGCGCCCGACAAGTTTTTGGGCGACAAGAACTTTAGTTTGCAGAAATTGATTATTTCCACCGATGCGATGCGTATGGGCGTAAAGGTTTTTTAATATAAGAATATTTTAATACACTACGAACAACTATTAATTTAAATTAGTTTAAAACTATAGTTATATACAGTACCAGTCATATATGTATGTACGTATATATACAGTATAGGTATTAGCCTATTGAAAGATGACGTCAATATTGCGATAAACAAATTTGCTTCTCTAAAAGCACGCAAAGTTGAGTTGGCAAAATGTTAATTTTCTTATTTAGGTATTTGTTTTTTATATAGTTTTTGTTTATGTTTTTAGGGTGGCAATATGTTTTCGACTTTTTTTTTTATTTCGGAGCTCACATGAAACAATTTAAGTTTAAAGTATTCAAGTTTCAACTCAAAATAGTTATTTACGATATAAGTGGGATAAGAGCTTTATTAACGTACGCATGCGCAATTTGCCCAACGAGTGCGTAGCACGAGTTGGGCAATCGCAAAAGTACGTTAATAAAGCGTTATCACACGTATATTGTACAAATTTTTATGTACGCCTCTAAATGGAAAAATAAACGGTAATTATTTTTGTCTAAGACTTAATTTAGGGTTATTTTGACATTTTGACTTTTTATTTGATTGGTTAAAAGCAGAGAAAGACGCGTGCGTTAATGAACTTCTTATATCACTCAAAATGAGTGGGATAAGAAGTTCTTATCTCACTGGAGTAGATAAAAAAATAAACGTCGCTCAAAAAAATCAACTAAATTGGAAAAATAGTAGTGGTTACAAGATCAAAATTATTAAAAAAATCAAGAAATGTATTTCAAAAATATTGAGCGACCAATAATATTTTGACTTAAAATGTATTATGTTCCTATAAGATCTACAAAAAAAATAGTGAGAAGCCAAAGATTTTGAGAAAAAAGGTTGGTTTAAAAAAGTTTTGAGCGACGTCTAAAATTTTTTTATCTGTTAAAACTCAAATACTTTAGACTTATTTTTTTTATTTGATCTCCAAAATCAAAAAAATTTCGAAAAAATACTACAACGTTAATGTTTATGGTTAAATAAAATCCTTTTAAGAAGTGACATTTCTTTGAATTTATTATATAGGTAGGGGCAGAAAATTTTTATTAGACCCGGGGCGCAAATTTTTATAATCCGACGCTGCCCGACCTATATAAATATCAATAATTTACGGCAGTAGGTCGGGTACTTGTAACATTAATAATATAAATACATACACACTTCTTTTACCTTTTATTTTCAAGCGTAATGTTTGTTATATTAACCTATACCTACATTTTTATTAATATTATGGAAAATTTGTACACGTCCCCGACATACAGCCGCCTGAGGCCTCTCTACCAATGGGATCACCCATTTTTTATAACAGAAAAATGGATTACTGATTAATTCTCGAGATAATTAATTGCTTACAAGTTGACAGCCAGTAAAACATTGCATTAATCTAAAACTTTTACGTTTTAAGGAACCATTTTGCTCAAGCCAGCCATACCACTCAAATATAAAATTAAATTTTAAAAGGCACCGATTTTGATAATTGTCATAGATTTTTGTTCCAAATAAATGTTTCTCTTTATTTACCTTTTCGTTTTATTCACTACCACCAATGGGTTTTACTCAAATAATAGTGTTAATTTACACTAGAAGTTTGCACTAAAAGAGTAAAAGTACCTTTCAAAATTTATAACTTTACCAAAGTAGTGTTAATTTGCACTGAACAAAAGTGGGATTTTACCCAGGAAGTGTAGAAGTACACGATTTTAGGTAAATTAACACTTTTTAATGCAGTGTAAAATTACCTTATCCCGCGCTAAAGTGTTAAATCATACTTGCTTACTTGGGGAAAATTACACTACAAATTAACTCTAATTGTATACTATAGTGTTATAAAACAACACTATTTAGTGTGGACCTGTGTGAACTCTACTTAGTGTTGCTTAGAGTTGATTTTTTTGTTACTGTGTAATTAGCAAAAATACTCACCTCCTGCGGTGCAACAGCTCCCTTTTCAAGGACGTTTTGATATTGTTGAAGCAGCTCGCAAGCTTCTTTTCCGAGCCCAGATATCTGGTAACAGGCGGCTGCATTAGCCATAATTAAAAGATTTGAAGGAGCCAGAGTGAGAGCTTGCCTGAAAGCAAGCACCGCATTTTCAGCGTCTTTCAGTTCTAAAAGGGCACCTGAAACCAAACCGGAAAGGCATAAATGAGAAATGAGAAAAATTATAAACTTATTCATTCGTCAAGGGCTTATAGAAAGACAGTCACTGTTAAATAGAATTTTATATTATTCGAGTCCAACAAGCTAAAGAAGCATCGCTACTATAGTAGCGCCACCATCGTTATAATCGTAAACTACAACTTAATCAGCTGTCAAACGCGTAGGTATGTGAAATAAATTGCATAGAGTCCCTAAAAATATAAATAGAGTAATTGCATCAAAAATGAAAATTCCTAAAAACCTTTTTAATGTAATCTAGAGGTAAAAACACATTGCGAAAATATTTTTTTATATTCCAAAAGTTCAACCCGGCCCCAAAATATCAAATTGAAAAAAAGGTACTTTTCAAACGTTCGCGAACTCCCGCCATATTGCATGAGGTCATAAATCAGAAAAAATCAACGGTAAAAGACCCAAGCAGGGTATTAAATTGTTATTTTTATTTTGGCTGTCACTTGTCAATTGTCGCAGGAACTGTTTTGTCGTCAAAATAAGGTGCCCTTTTTCTCAATGTATTTTTATTAAGAGCTCATGCGTAGATAGTCTCTTTTTGAGGTTAGAAGTCAAAAAGTAATAGATTTTTTTAATATATGTATTTCCATATATGCAATTTGTTTTATAAACTTTATAAACTGTAGACACTCGTTTATTAAACACTCGCTCCGCAAGCTTCGCTCGTGTCTAATTAAAACTCTTGACTAAAATGCGGTTTTTAGCATTATTAATCATTTAATGAACAAGAAATTTTTTTTTTAAGTAATTAATATTAACGAAAACAAAATAATTAAGCATGATTAATTTTCATACGAATTGGTCCTTAGAGAGGATTAGGCTAAAAAACAAATGAAACACTGTCTGGGGGAATAAAATTTCTTTTAATTTATTTAGCCAAAATGCTAAATGTATAGGATTCTTTGATATAAAAATGAGCCAAATTATATAAAGCATATATTTTATATGGAAAGGAGAAATGGAAACGAAAACAGAAATAATCCAAAGTAAAAAATTATAGACATAAAACAAATATTGCCGGCTTCGTTGAAATTGGCCTATTTATTTTGTGCCTACATCATCAATTCTACAAATCCTTATAAATTCGATAATTATATTTGTTTATCATGTATGTTTATTAAACTGGATACAGAATATATTATTTTATCAAATTTTATCAATTGACGAAAAAAACAAGTTATTGGACAATTAACATTAATACTGGAAAAACAAGAGTTCTATAAATAGTTACCTTAAAGTCAAATCATTAGATGACGCTGTATAGAATTAGGACAATATATAGGACAAAAAAGTTCCCACGTTACTTTGGTGGTAAGATTTTTGTTTTTTTGTTAAGAGCAGGGCTGTTTAAATTACAATAAAAAAATTCTAAAAAGTGTACAGATCAGTGTGTGGTAAAAATGTGTTCCTCATGGTTTAAACATTGTCACTTCAATACGGTTTAATTTTAATTCTGAAAGCAAACAGTAAAATGCCAGTGTCCAATGACTGGTTGGTAAAAAATGTAAATTTCTATTATTGGATATACGTCCAATATCATACTTTATTTGTATTCTGCCAATTCTTATGTAAAATTGTCCCCTGAATCCGAAAAGACCGTTAAAAACTATAAAAGTTAAGCAGTTTTTGAGATATAGTCAATTCTATATTATATGTAAAATTGATTATATTTCAAAAACTGTTCTACTTTTATAACTTGACGACATTTTCGGATTCAGCGAATAATATTTTATAGGAATTGACTGCTAAATGTCCTGGATACAAATTGCCGTTGACGAGACTTATTAGTGGCTGCTTTTTCGCTATAATATTTTTGACTACTTAATTTTTAGAGAGTAAGTAATATAGTGATTTTTTCGTCACAGGACATCTTGCATCATTGCGACGGTAAAACCTCGGAAACCTCGAGATACCTAACAATAAAAAGTATTGTTTTATTTAAAGTACCCAAAAATAGATAAGTTGTCAGTCAGTCAACAATTGACTTTCTATATAAGCGCATATTTTTGACTTTTTAAATGCATAAAAATCCGACCCCTTATTAAAACTATTGTCAACAATAATTATTAATTATTGAACTATTTAGGCTTGGATTATAATTTTAGGTACCTACCTATTATTCAAAATATAATATTAATAATTATTATTTAGTTTTATTTATTATTGACTATTAAACAGACAATAATAACAATAATGTCTAGTAATGATAATAATCGTTATAAATTGTCCAAAATGTTTAAAAGGGCTTAATACAATTCATAAAATATATTTCCTAATTAACGTTTTAAATTTTAATCCTATATTAATCATTTTGTGCAATTTATAAGGATGTTAAAACATCGTTCAGCTTTGGCTTTATTTTTGGGAATCAAGAATAATAATATTTTGACAATTTATTTAAAATATGGTTTTAAAATTATTTTGTTTTTAGCTTAATTAGATATCCCAAAATTTAAAAAATATATATAAATTTTTTTAAATCAGGTAATACGAGTAAATACATTTTTCATTCTATATTCCATGTATAAAATATATTCCGAATAAATCAGGTGTACCCTTAAATACCGAATTGGGAAATAAATCTATCTGATGACTGATTTTTGATAAATTAGGGTGCAAAATATAATTTAGCTATCGATTTGTGAAATTGAAAGCTTATATTAATTAATACCATAATAATAAATAACTTTAGGCATTTCGTATTCGTTCCTACGTGTAGGTACGTACTTGATATATGTAAGTAATATAATATAACATATTATGTTGACAGGGTGATTAATGTTCAATGTTGATTTTGATTAAATCCAGTTTAATAAATTAATTCTTAATTAAATGCCATGTTTTTATTTGTCATTTACCAAACTTTCTAATGATCAAAATCTAATTGAAATTTACTTTATGCTGGCAGCCTTCTAGATAAACACTTTATCAGTGCATTACTCTCAAACTTCGTGTCTAATTGGATAAGACAGAGATTATAAGTTTTTGCAGTTTTTTCGTCTGAAAGTCTGCGGATAGTTAATACTCATTAGGTTTTTATCAAAAAATAAAAAAGTCGAGAAAAAATGTATTTAAATGTTATAACTATTATAAATTCATTTAAATTACCTATAGGACCTATAGGACACAAAAAATGACAACCAAAGTCAACCTCTATCTCTTTATAATTGTTTTAGTCAAATTCGCCCAAAGCTGACGTAGGCTTAACTACTGTAGCATATTGGTTTAAGGTATGACAGCAAAGGCAAATTAGAGCGGTTTACTTGATGCAAGAGCGTTATAACTTACATCCCAGTACGGCAAAAGAGTCTGCTATGTCTGGCCGAAGGTTAACGGCGGCACACACGAAGTTGAAGGCAGATGTCGGTTGTTGAGTGGCCAGATGGACCAGGCCCAAATTGAACAGCACCTTCCAGTTTAAAGGGGAAATCCATAGAGCTCGTTTCAAACAGCTTATAGCCTATAACAGAAAGTAATTTTTACACTCAGAAAAATGTATACATTTTTCTGAGTATACATGCTAATGCATGTTAATTTTATTATCGTTTACACCAACCCATCGATCTTTTAGATTACCTATAATTCATTATTTTAATCATTTAACAAACACAGTATTTAAATGTCAACAAATGTCAAATCAAGAAAAGTGTGCTCAACATATGCAACTCTGATTACGACACTAATATAACCTCAAAGTTTGGGCAGGCATCAAAAATACAACCCGGCCGAAAATACGGGAAAAAATTAAATGTGTATATCGAAACATATTGATGCCTGCCCAAATTTTGAGGTTATATTAGTGTCGTAATCAGAGTTGCATATGTTGAGCACACGACTAAAAAATTTTTACTCCCGCTATTATAGAGTGTGCGCGTATAGCTTGACCAATGCAAGAAACGTAAACTTTCTGCCGTGGAATCGGGGACGAAACAACGTATTTTCAGTCGAGGTAGTAAGAAAAAAATATTGTCGCTGTGATAAAATGCGTAACCATGGAATACTGGCATTCTATTGGTTCTAATTATAATGAATTGTATTGTCATGGCTATAAGAAATACTAAATATGTTTATATTAAATCTTTGTCGAACTTAAAATATTTTTGTTAAATCTATGTGTGAATTGCGCTTACATAAAGTAATGCGCAGTTGTTATAGTAAAATTTGTTCATTTTACTATGGCATATTTGTCTTTTTTAAATTACTATCGTTGTAATTCAAATTAATTTTATTTTTGTTAAAAAATCTTTGTTAATAACGATAACAAAAATATTGCTATAAAAAGACTTTTAATATTTTCTATTGTTTTGCAATGGTAACAAAATTTTTGTTATTTCCCTTAAAAAGAGGGGGAAAGGGCCAGCGCTCTCCTTGGTAAACGTTTTTGTAAACGGTATAGTTATTACTGAACGCAGCGTTTATAGATAAATAATTTTTATAAAAATGATCTTTTTGCCGTAACAAAAGCAATTGTTGGACGAATATATTCGTCCAACAATTGCAATTCCTATAGGGATCTTTACTTTATTAAGACAAATTACTTTTTTGTTATATTTATTAAAAAAATTTCTGAGTGTAGACTACATATGGTACTTAAAATATTTTTGAATAAAATATACTTAATAATAATTTTTTGTTATTTATTTATTTTTGTTGTTTTATGAATTTAGATAAGTAATTTAGTTGAATTTTAATTATATTTTTGAAACAATCAATTTTAAATTATTTTTGAATAAAACATTCTATAATCATTTTGTTTTATTTATTTTTGTTGTTTCCATGAATTCTGATGAGTAATTTAGTTGAATGTTAATTATATTTTTTTACCAATAAATCGTACAACAATGTGAAGCTTTAAGTCAACAACATGCATGTTTGCCATATTTTAATTACATTTTCTTACTAATAAATCGTACAACAATGTGAAGCTTTAAGTCAACAACATGCATGTTTGCTATATGTCCGTTTCGCATTCCATTTACGAAAAAATATTTTTATTATTATTATATACACTCATTTAATTAAGCACTCGCTCGCAAGCTCGTGACTAAAATGACGTTTATCAAACTTCATATATGAATCATGTATACATGATATAAGTGTATAATAGTTATTATCCACTTATTAGATCTAAAAATATTTGACAAAGGACCGCTTTGCATTCATAGTGGTATTTATGAAAGATTATGCATATTTGTAGATAAAATCCAAGGGAGAAAGCAAACTTTAATTTAAAACTGTCATAAAGTTATTAAACGTCTCAAGGTTCTTTTATATTTAAGTCAGAAATTGTTCCCAGCTTAGCAGATTTCTCTATAGAGGCATATATGCCCTGCATTTTATGTTACTTGGAAAATGTTGTTTGCATCCATAATGTAGGTCACACTTTGTAATGTTTTTAGTATGTAAACTCAATAAAGTTTTTCCAACCAGTGGCAGCTCGTGGGTGTAGGAATAAATTTCCACTTCACCCGGGAGGTAGTATTATGCAACGCCCATTATAAATAAAAAAATAGGCCGTTTTAAATAAAAAAAATTAATTAAAAAAACAAAGAAAATATCAAAGCAATCTTACACAGTAAAAAAAATCAATTAGAGTTAATTTGTAGTGTAATTTTCCCCAAGTAAGCAAGTATGATTTAACACTATAGCACTGAGAATAAAGTAATGTTACACTGTATTAAAAAGTGTTAATTTACCTAAAATCGTGTACTTCTACACTTCCTGGGTAAAATCACACTTTAGTTCAGTGTAAATTAACACTACTTTGGAAAATTTCTAATTTTGGAAAGGTACTTTTACTCTTTTAGTGCAAACTTCTGGTGTAAATTAACACTATTATTTGAGTAAAACCTATTTGTGGTAGTGAATAAAACGAAAAGGTATACAAAGAGAAACATTTATTTGGAACAAAAATTTATGACAATTATCAAAATCGGTGCCTTTTAAAATATAATTTTATATTTGAGTCGTATGGCTGCTTAAGCAAAACGGTTCCTTAAAACGTAAAAGTTTTGAATCAATGCAATGTTTTACTGGCTGTCAACTTGTAAGCAATGAATTATCTTGAGAATTCATCAGTTATAAAAAATGGGTGATCCCATTGGCAGAGAGGCGTCAGGCGGCTGTATGTCGGGGATTTACCACACGTGTACAAATTTTCCATAATATTAATAAAAATGTAGGTATAGGTTAATATAACAACCATGGCTGCATTACGCTTGAAAATAAAAAGTAAATCAAGTGTGTATGTATTTATATTATTAATTTTACAAGTACCCGACCTACTGCCGTAAATTATTGACATATAATATAGGTCGGGTATGGACATCTTTTTAATGTATTGGTATTTATTGAGTATTAAGGCTTAAAGAAAAAGGAAGTATAATACTTAACAAAAAATAAGAATGTCCTCTTATGGATTCACCGTAATTAAAATCTAACTGAACAAAAATGCCACACTTCCACAACACGGTATCTCCGGATATGCACTGCGTAGGTAAATAGGTACCAACCAAACATTTTAAAACGCATTTCGGTTATTACCAATTTTTTCAGTCTATTTTGCCACTATTGGTGTAATTTAACTTTAATTGTGATACAATGGGCACTAGTAGTGTAAAGAAAAAAGAGCTCTCAGTAACATCAAAACAGACAAAGAAATTGGCATGCACTGTAGTGTACATTTTGTCACTATTAACACATTAAGGGGTAATAAACACTCGCATTAAATTTTTCTACCCTTTTGATTTATTTTAATAATAAATAGTGAATGAACCAATGAATAATGTTCATATTCTTTAAATGTGTTTATTAAAGTTAATAAGCACTAAATGCACTATAGTGTATTTTGTAGTGTAACTTTTACACTTACAAATCAACTCTAATATTTTTGCCTCTACACTAAAAAATTTACACGGGCAAAATTTTTTACTGTGTAACCCTAAATGCAAAACTAAAAAAAAATCGTTTTTTTAAACTTTAAAATATATATCTGAAACTTAAAAATATATTTATATGGATGATTTTGTATACAAAAGGTCGTTCGATCCTTCATTTTGAGGGTGAGGCGCGGCCTTAGAGGTCTGACGAGCCGCCACTGTTTGTAACAACAGCAGCATCTTTGCATATCAACAAAATGAGAATTTATGAAGATTTAAATGATAAACATCTATACACAGTGGAATTTTAAAGCAGGCTAGTGTGTAGACTTAAATTTGCTAAAGGTATCTTTAGTATTAAAGAACATGTCTCTTAGTCTTTGTTGTACAAGGAGACATGAAGAAGCATATGGCACGTGTACTACAAGTCGTGTAGTTCCACTCTGTAAACCATGATTAATTAATATCGCAAGAACATTGTAAACCCGTACAATTTCTTCTCTAACTATAATCTATAAGTATAATCCCCATATAACTTAAATATATTCTAGACTAGCAAATTTAATAAACCAACTATTTAAGGTATTTTATTGAGCGCTTTATAAACTTCTGTATATCCACTTAACTCGAATAATAGATTGTATAATCTCGAATTTGGATAATAAAATTAGACGAATTTTTACATAAATATTCATAAGCAACTTTACAATATAAATGTTTAGGATTATAAGTGTATTCAGTCTAGACGTATCAACACTATTCTGCGATATACTCAAAATACATTGTTTCCTCTATTTATATGCAGATTTTAATCCGACTCGAGAAATGTAAAAAACAAAGTTTTGAACGTACTTTATTTTATTTAAAATTTTAATCAAACATACCAAATAATTTCACCACATTCAGAAAGTTTATAATTTTGTAGCAACCTAATTTAATTAAAACATAATTAAATTAAAAATATTTAATTGTAATAAATTCATGTTAAAAAGGATTTATTTATATATAAATGTTATAACAAAGCAGTTTGCAATAGTATACAGGGTGTCACCAAATAAGTTGTAATCCTTTAAGAGGATGATAGTACGCGCCAAAATAAGAAAGACATGTTTCTATGACCCTAAGTGACCTTTTAAATACACATTGACAAGTTGTGGCTTTATGCCGCTTTAGTCACGGGTTGAAGTTAGTTTTAAGTTAGTTGACAGTTGTCAAATGTCATACAATCGTTAAAATAAATTGCCTTTCTTGTAAAATAATACTAAATGTGAAAATTATTTTATTATCTCAATACAAAAATACAAAAGTATTAAATAATTTCTCAACGCCAATATTTGAAAAGTTTATATGAACATTGTAGTACAATGATTGTACTGACCTTTTAATTTCGCCGGCAGTAAACTATAACTTAAATTCGGGCACGGACTCCACTGTAAAGTGCTCATAAAACATTTTCTTTACTTTCACTGTGAAAAACTGTCAATTTTCAAGAAATACATTTCGATTTATAACCTTTATAATTGTGTTTATAAAATGTAAAAATTTGACATTTGACGGTGACACACAGATTCCCCTATTGTTTCATAGATGGCGCTCTATACAAATTTTTTATTTAAATCATTTTAAGATAATAATAAGTATTTGTCGTAGAAAAAGTATAGTATGCACCTCGTTTATAAACTTTTCTATACACTCCTTAATTAAAACTTTAAAAATCTTTAAATTTTGGGCCGCCACTGATTGTCCCTTACCTATGACAACTGTCGCAAAATAAGCTGCTGTTTATTAAAATCCATGGATAAATGGCGAAGTTATGAATTTTTCAGTGGAAGACCAAAATTCAGTTTTTCGAGATTTTTTACGTTTTTTCTTCATTTTATTGAATTATATAAAATTTAATATTGAACATTGATTTTTATTTTAAACAATAAATATTGAACATTGAAGAAATTGAAAGTTTTATTTTGTTGTAATAAGAATAGGTTTAAAAAAATTCTGGCTCATTCTTTGTTTTTTGTTACTTTCGTATTCCGTTTCTCGTATGAGGGACCAAATGTAATCACCCATCATGGCTGCATCCCAGAAGCCGTGATACCGCCGCTCCATAGCCTTCATTTGCTGGTGAAAACGTTCTCCGTGCTCATCACTTACGTCGCCCAGATTGTCCGGGTTATTTACACAAACCTCTCTACTTCTTTTACTCATTTTACACTTTTTATTAACTAAATAAAACCATGATAAAAATACTTTTCAAAAATGTCAAAAAGTATCAGTAAAATGTCACTAGGCCAACACGAGAAACAAAAGATTTCACGTTTGCGGGATGTCAAATTTATATTTTGAATAATGTTTTCGGTGAAAAAAGTACGTAAAAAGTCAAAAAATTCCAATCATGCACTTTATTTAGGTTTTCATTAATAGATAAACATATTACAAAATAAAAGAAAAAAATTACAATAAAAATCGTCAAAAAGCTGAATTTTGGTCTTCCACTCAAAAATTCATAACTTCGCCATTTTTTCATGTATTTTTATCAACATTAGCTTGTTTTTTTTTGTAAAAATGTCAGCTTTACGAAAAAAAATTCAAACTGGAGTTATCTGTTTGATTTAAACCTTTCCCAGGACGATATGTAAATTTTCGACCTCAATTTTTCCCATAAAAACGAATTTTTTAAGTTATTAAAATCGCTACTTATCCGATATTAAAAGTATGTAAAAGAAAATTTTAGAGGGCTCAAATACCTTCAATTTAAGGGCTTGTTCGACCAAATCGATCAATTAGATTTCAAGGTATACTCAAAAACGTCAAAACACGAAAATTAAAAAAAACAATTGAAAATTCATATTTCAAAAACGCTTCCATAAAAAAAATTGAGTGTGATTTTCGTGTTAAGTGGGTCAAAATACTTGGGAAAATTATAATTGGATATGGTGGGCAGATTTTTTTTTGATTTTGTATACTAGTGTAACATATATGTAGGTTTAAAATATTAAAATATTTTACTTACCGCAACATATTTTTGTTTGGAATAAAAACAGATGCCTATGTTATTCCACAAAGCCACCGAGTCAGGTGCGTACACAACTGCTATTTTGTATTTTGTTAATGCCACATCGAATTCTTCATGCCTCTGAAAAAATATGCAGGTAAGTATAAAACTTCTGTATCTTATTTAAATAGCGAGCACATAAAATTTTCACAAAATATAATAATTTTTCAAAAAACATTCTCAATATAAAATTTATACAGTTCGCACTTTTACCACCCTTGTTATGTTTTGGCTCAGGTTAAAAAATTAATTTAAAATTCTGAAACTGTAGGAGGATCTTTAAAAGAGAAAACACCTCGTTTGAAAAAAAAGTTATTTACTGCCCTCTTGGCATTCCTTTTCTCGTTCGAAAGATAACAACCAACCCTTTATCCACCCCTTTTCTGCTGTCCTTGACTTTACCAGGTGTGTTCAAAAAATATCGGGAATTTTCGTTTTTTGAAACAAATATTTATTTATTCGTCTACATTAATGTTGTCGCCTTCAAAATAGTCCCCATTGGATATTATGCACATGTGCCAGCTCTTCTTCCAATACTCGAAACACTTCTAAAACTCGATCTTTGAGATAGCCTTTAGTTCTTTTAGCGATGCGCTTTTAATGTCATCTACGCTTGCAAAACGACGGCCCTTTAAGGTTATCTTTATTTTTGGGAATAGGAAAAAGTCAGACAGAGGCATGTCTGGCGAATATGGAGGCTGGGGCATCATTACAGTATTATTTTTGGCCAAAAATGTTGTTCAAAATTTAACAATTTTAGAACAAATTTTGCTGCCACGCGTTTCATACCCAAAACATTCGAAAAAATTTCATGGGATGAGTCAATCGATATACCAACATCATCAGCGACTTCTCTGATGGTTTATAACCATTTCTTCCACTTTTTTCATGTTTTTATCGGTTGTTAATGTGCTTGTGCGTTCGGGGCGTTCGTCATCTTCAACGTCTTCACGGCCATCTTGGAAACTCTTATACCACTTGTAAACTCTTCTTTTACTTATAGCAGACTCACTATAGGCCTTTGTTAACATTTCACAGAATTTATTTCATTTTTTTAATTAAAATTGGATACAAATTCTTTGATCCATTTCTTTTAACGAACGAAAAATCGCCGAGCTCATAAAACACGTCTAACCTAAGCGGCTGCCACCGACAAAGTAAACAATGAAAACAGCTAAAGTTTTTATCATACTTCGGGGCCATGTATACCAACATAATAAAGAAAATTTTATGACAACCGGACCCTATGAACCCGCGAAATTTAACAATTCCCGTTATTTTCTGAACACACCTCGTATACAGTGTGCATGCATCTATAGGACTATACTTTGACAGGTACATAACCTAAAATGCTTTAAATAACAAATTTTCAAAAGACAGCATTCTGCATTTAATGTATTAATGTATTATTGGAATTTTTTGCAGCAGTAGACGGTATATTGAACTGCAAACTTAATTGAATAAGGTTAATTGCCCCTATAAAAGGTAAGCAGTAAATTTGGCCATGTGTTGTAAATGAAAGCAAGAAGTTCAACTAACACTTGTATGGTCTGTTCGTATGGAGTTTTGGAATTAATTAGGGCCAAAGTACTTTTTATTTGCTTGTCAGACCCAAGTCGCAACATTAAACTTAAGACGTAGACTAAAAAAAGCTTTACTATAAAACACTTTTTATTACAGTATTGGACTATTTATATTTGAAAAACTTTGCCACCATAAAATATAGAGAAAATTTGCCGGTATTTTGAAAAAATAACCTTAATTGAAACTCAATACGACATGTTGCTTAATTGCTAAATTTATTGTAAATATATTTATACATATTTATTACAAATAGAGTTCTGTCTTAATTAATTACTATTAATCATAAAATTTGTTAACCTAAATATTGCAAAAATCTTCTCCAGTTAAATTATAAAAATCTTCTCCTCTAAAATTATAAATCACTTTGTGAGGTTGTGTATGTTAATATAAAATGTGCTTCAGTTTGGGTGATTTTTAAAATAAAATACTTGTTTTTTTTAAGATGATTTTATTAAGAAAGCGACGTATATTTGGTGATTCTACAAAAGATGGACAACTTGATGTCATCAGTCAATAGAGTAGGTATTTTAATATTTTTTGTAAATATTTTAGTATATTACAAAATATCCAGGTTTTTTCAACTTGTCCACCCAATTTTAATGTATTTTTTTAAAAGCACGTTTGTAGAAAAACATAATAAATATTCAAAACATCAGAACCTTGACGTGTCACAACTCCTGAATCTAATATTTGAGTGATTTTATTTTAAAATATATTCAATTTATCTTAAATTTTTCAATTTTACTACAAACTATAAAACATTAAATAATGTATTTTTCATATTTTATCATAGATTCGAATAATATCAATTTTTAAAAAATTGATAATCTTTGTACTCACTTTTACCCGTCAGTTCTGTGTCCAATGTTAAAATTCAAAATTCCTGCGAAATATTGAAGTTTAAACGTCAAGTCCTCGTTTTAACTCAAGTGTTGGTAAAATATTACCTACAGAGCCCGCCCTTTGCACGACAGTCATCCTGAAAACAATGCAAGCGGCGAAGTTGTGGTGAATGCACGTATAGTTCCAGTCAAAATTTCAGTACTGTGGTGAGTAGTTATTTTCTTACGTATATATATTTCATTGTAATTTATATAAGGCTATATGTGATTTGTTGATAAGTAGCATCCACTAATAAAAAATATCAGTAAAATACTTAATTCCCATTCATCAGTACTGTGTCGTCAGTTCCATGTTCGATGTTTCGGTTATCTTTTTTTCGCAAACTTCAATTTAAATTCTGCTTGCGCAGAACTTGTTTATTTAATGTCATTATAAACTCATATAAATTTGGTGTGGGTCCCATATCTAATAATTGTAATAACGGTATACCCAAAATCCACCAGCCGCCACTGATGTGTATTATTTGATTTTAAGATATTGAATGTATAATATGCTCAAAGTTGCAATAAATTTTATATTTTCCAATAAATTATGTATTTAATTAGTACTATCGCTAACAAAAAAAACTCATACAGCTTAAAAATCTAGTGTTCCTGATTTTCTATCATTTCGTTGGAGTAATTATGGCTTTTAACATGATACGTCACATTTGAAGGGTCTAAAATTAAATACAAAGTTAGGTTGAAGTTTGAAAAAAAAATAATATTTCGTCATCCCTCTGCCCGCAAACGGCAAAGCATGGAAGTCGCCGTCTTGCTTTATCTCGTTCCAAATGGCTTCAATGGCTTTCCAGAGTTCGTCTGCATTGTTTGGTTGAAAATGTTGTTAAAAAAGTCATAATGGATGTGACAAAGCTTGATGTCAGCTTGACATTGACGGAAAAGTTTTATTCACACAGCCACAATATAGCTGTATGAGTTTTTTTTGTTAGCGATAGTACCCTGGTATACTCGTCACTTCCATTGCATTCAAATTTAGAAAACACAGATATTTCAGAAATTGTTTAAATCACAGGCAAAGTCTGCTAATACTTTAAAAGAATCTACTCCATTATCTGAAAAAATTTGTTAATAATATAATTTATTAATATATCCTGATTCCCTTTAAATTCATCTGATTAATAATTAACAAGTGAATTTATAGTAAATACACTTAATTTATTATTAATGGGTTAGTCAACACGTGGAAACATCTTAAAACAAACGGCGCCAAAATTCAGCCAATAATCAACGGAATATCAAGGCATCAATTATTATTTTTTTTAATAACTCATAAACTTACATTTAAAAGTATTAGCCAGATCTTCAAAACCGTTTAACAGTTTAAAATCTATTATGTCCATGTCAACATCCATTTTTTTTGTTAGCATTCAACACGATAGAAAAATAATATTACGTACTAACACAATCAAGTATAAGATGGCGCCACCGCCGGATGATCCCGGCGCGAGCGGTAATCAAAAAATACAGAAAAAGTGTGAAATATGTGGTAATAATTTTAGAAATTTTATCACATGCAAATCCTGTGGCTTTGCAATACATAGCAAATGTTTTGATCTTGTTTCCAAAGTGCTTAGTGTTGGCAAAATATGGTGTATTAAGTGCCACGAGAAAGAGGGTGCATCAGGTGATCCAGTCCAGGAAATAAATGGAAATTCAGCAGAGACAGAGTCTCTTCATCGTGAATTAGATTTATACAAAAAGTTAGTTTGCGAACTTGAAAAGGTAAACAAATTACAAGAGATGCGTTTAGAAGACATATCCGCAAAAAACCTAACCGTCATTCCTGAAAAAACTACCTTGCCTTCACTTTATAGCGAGAAAGCAAAAAAACAAGTAAACAAACAATCGGCTGGTTTGTTTATAAAATCAAATACTGAGGTGCAATCGTCTGATTTTATGAAAGAGTTACGTAGTAAAATCAACCCTTCGGCGTTGGATATTCAAATAAGCAGTACAAAAGTGGCGAAAAGTGGCATAATAGTTATCTGTGATGGAGAAAGTTCCAAAGAAAAATTGAAGAAGAGTCTAGAGGAGTGTTTTGGTGGAAATTTAACTGTATCAGATGCTAATAAATTAAAGCCACGCATCTTAATACGTTCCGTCGATAATGAGATGGCTAAACTTCAGGATGATGATTTCTTAAGTGATTTGCGTACTAACAATAATATACAAGGGGACTTGAAGGTTATTAGGCGTATTCAAGGCAAATTTAACTACAATATTGTGATAGAAACTGATATTACTACAAGGAATAACATAATTAAGAATGGTTTTGTTTACATTGGATGGCAAAAGTGCTTTTGTGAAGATAATATAATCATTTCAAGATGTTTTAAATGTTCTCGACTAGGGCATATTGCAAAAAATTGCTTAAATGATACTGTGTGTTGTCCGATTTGCGCTGATATCCATGATTTAAAAGACTGTCCCAAAACTATCAAAAAGTGCATTAATTGTGTTAACTATAATAAGAAAAACAAAACCCAGATATCTTGTGATCATGAATCTAGAGACAGAAATTGCCCAGTTCTAAAATACCAGACTAGTTTATTAAAATCAAAAATTGTTTATGAATAATAAAAATAAAATATT